ACAAAGCTGTAATAACAAAAAATTGTAGCACACCTCAGGCTTCCATACAGCTGGAGAAGGACATCCATACTGCTTCTCAGAGATGACAGCTCTCATTCAGGAGCACCACCCTGTTCCTCAACCTACCACAGCAATTGTCGCCTCCAGTCATGCAAGTGCTCTGAAACAGAGGTATTACTCTAATCTCAATACTTCCTCTCTCCTGTGACATTGGCCAGGGTGAATCAGCATTTAATAAACAGTATTTCTTAACCGATGAGTGCCGCATTTGCAACAGCACTGCGGGCACATTTCCCTTTACCCCAATACTGGAGAACTTATCTATATAAATCCACACAAGAGAGAACACCTGAACAGTAAAAGCTTGTAGCAAACTTATTCCAAAGAACCTGAGCTCCTGATGATCTGTTATGCTGGCACAGGTGCCACGTTTCTCAGTGCTCAGTCCAGAAAACTCGTGACTCCTGCTCTTACCTTTCACGTTCAATCTTCCTCTAAACTAGTGTCCAGAGCAGCCTACTCCCCCAGGAAAAAAGCTACACAGATTGCTCGACATGCAATTAATAGGTCAGTCTTTCTGAGCTATGTTCCACTTGCCACAAGCTGATTAGCTGTCTGCTTAAGGAGGAGCCGGGCTAAGTTTCCTTCTGACGGCAGTGAAGTGGAGAGGCAGGCACTGACTGTAATAATATGCTGTTTCCTGTCTGCGGCTGAGCTGAGAGGTACTTCCCAACAGAAAAGGGTTTACAGGAGCTCTGGAGTTCAAGCTCCACCTCCTCCAGTGAAGAGCCTTTAACTACGGAGGAGGGGTCAACAGGACGGCTCCTGGCACTCAGCAACTTGCTCTGCCCAAGCTTCACTTCCACTAAAGTGTCAGAAAGAAGAAATCAAACGACACACACCTCTCTCCACAGAGAGGAGCTTCTTCCTAAGGGATCTCGAAGCTCTGATTAAAATGGGATGGGAAGTAAACGTTGTAACTCATGTTAATGTGAATGAGGGTGAAAGTCCACACTACCATTTGCTAGCAGTAACTGGAAAACACTTACAAAAACACCATGTGAGAATCATATTGAAACACAAAATTTGCACCTGGAAAGAGCTGATGTCCTTCCTAGGCCCTGTCCTGTTGATGAGAGGTGTTTTTCATCAGTATTAAAGAACACATTTTACTTTTTTCTTTTTTTTTTTCCCCTTTAGCTTTATACAAATCCTGCACAAGGCAGGAAAGGGTCAATGCACTGATAAGGACTCATTCCATCAGTTGTGCCAACTGCATTGAAGGCAGCAGGCTTAGTTCAGTTGGCACCTTCTACAAAAGTTCACATCTTCAGCCAACACATCAACCTGAGGAGGAAGAATTTGTTCACCACACAAAAGTTTACAAAAATGGGCCTAAGGAGATGACCCGAAGTCCTTTCAAAGACTCTTGAGGGGATAGCTGTGGTGACAAACTGTTGGCCTCAGCAAGAGAGAACAGAGAGATTGATGTATCATGTGTCCCTGCCCCCCAACCTTACTGGCTTCGGAGAAGGGACATGCTGGATGGTTCAGGTCCACGACACAGGTAAAGCAGTCATTTTGAGAGAAGTATCTCCAAAACCCAGGCTTCCTGGCATGATCTAGAGAAAAAACTATGCCAGGTTCAAAGTATGGAACTCATCCTCATCGTGTATTTTGTTTTAATGCACCTAAAGCAACTGCAGGTTAATGCACTAGGCAGGCACATCAACAAACCAAGTAACTGCAAAATAGCACTGTCCAAGAAAACACTGTTCATGGAAGCAGCTGAAGTCTCACGGGGAAGACACAATGCACCCAGTGTGATCCCAAATCATCTGTTTTTCAGAAGTCACAAGAGGTTTTCAGGCTATGGCTGAGAAAGCTCTGCTCAGAAGTCAGGGTCATGCTTTAACCTCACCCATCCAGTGCTGCTGATCTCTATTTCATAAGGAGTACAAACGTAGGCGCACAATGACGGCAAGGATCCAGGTTAAAAGTTGACCACTCTCTTTGAAATAAATGGGTCTGAAGTACCAGGACAACATGGTTATCATTCAGTTTGTACCACAGCAGATCCTCTCTAAGGCCTTGTGAAAGACAGCAGCCCTAGGAAAATCCACTGGTCAGAGGTCTAAGGGACCATACATGGAAAGCACCAGTCACTTACAGCCCAGACATTCCAAAAGAATTTACCTTACAGACAGATGACTTAGAAGGACAGAGATGGCAGGGATGTGACAGAATCAGCAATATTACACCTACAGTCCTCCTGAGAGAGGAGAGGCCTGGCATAGGGCTGCTATGTGACTTGTTCCCAGAGGCTTCCTGCTAAATAATTCTGCAGCCACACTGCCTGACCTAAAGGAACAATAGCTAAACACAAAGCTTTTCCTTACACTTCTCAGACGATGAAGCTGTACAACATCTTAAGCTCAAAGATGCCCCCAGTCACATTCTCCCAGCCCATTCTATAGTCACATATCCATTAACTCTGGGTAGCAGTCCTGAAAACTGTCCCCATTGCAAACAGGATACACTTACTGAAGAAATCTATGCGAGATCAACTAAGTAAACAACAGTGGAACCTGTACTACACACCCTTCTTTTTAGTGGAATAGGTCTGCATCTTAATACTCACTTTTCTCACTCTCCTGCCTTCTGACAGCAAACAAATCAGCTGTCAGACCTATGTCCCACGTAAAAATTTTTTTAACCTTATTCCTCTATTTATGCAACACAACCTCTGTTGGCTCTGTACTCTGGTTTTCTTCTCTCATGGTGCTGCGCTCACGAGCTACCTGCACTCCTGCCTGCCATCAGTTTCTCCTCTGACTGTTTGTCCATTATTATCAATTTGGTCTGGATCCACATTGCCCCTCTAAGTGGTTTATCTAGTCTTTGTTTCCTGCCTTCTTTGTTAGTACCTTAGGAGTATCATTCACGAAACCTGAGCTGCAGAATCTACCCATTGAGCAGTCCAGATGCCTGGATAGAGGATGACTTTCCTAAGAAAGAAACCACTCTTCATAAATCCAGAACTACCAGTCTCCATTGAAGAAAACACAGAAACACAAAGAAAACCAGAACATTTAAAACTCCAGAATAACTCTCTGCTATACAACACCAAACACTGGATGTTTTCCATCTAGGATAAAACCTCAATAGTGAGTCCGGCTGCTTTGAAACAGGAAAAAAAAAAAAAAAAAAAGCATCAAAGAACTCTTAATTTTAGAAAGGAACCAAGCTGGGGAGATAGAAGGGAGAAAGAGAGTGCTCTCAAAGAGAATGAAGAGAAAATTGCAAGACTACAAGGAATCCAAAGCACTGATGGCAGTGATGTGGCAGACCAAACAGCAGCAAGACTAGGAAACCTTCTGATTTCCTAAGTATTTTTATAGCTCATGGTAAACCACAGTCAAACCCCTCTGTAAGCCATGATAGAAAGAGTAGATAGAAATTAAGAGGAAAGATGTTTTTCTTTTAAGTTTACCTGAGCCCCATGGTATAGTGATCAGCTGGAGACAGTGTAAACTGTATCTGCTACTTGAGCATCAAAGTAGTCCTATACTTTTTACCCCCTAGGGAAGACAAGGACTGGCAAAGCCTGCTACCACAGTCACAGAAGCAACTCCTCGCTGTTGGACTCAGATAGGGCAATCTGAGAGAGTAAACACACTATTTCCTCCTGTCCCCCGTGTCAGGGACCAGATCTCATCCAACTAACAAATAAGTAAATAATAAGCAAAACAGTAACAGTACATTTGTTTACCTGAAAAAAAGAATCTTTATTTACATATGGGAAAACCAAAGTAAGATCAAAGAAAAAAATGCTTTATTAACAGGTAAATAACTTCACATTCTCCAAAATGTGTCCCCTACTAAAATCACTGCAGAATCCTTCTCTCTGTGCACACACACTGACACCTGGTATCAGTATTTACTATCAGACCCAGATGTGCCTCCTACTTGTCAAATAACGGATGCAGAAAGTGTTTTCAAACTTCGAGAAAGTTTGGGGTTTCATCTGGACATAGGGTGGGTGCCATAGCTACTTTGCACAGGTACTGCTAAGCAAAAAGCTACAGCTACATAACAGAAACTTCCTTTGATAGATGTTTTAAGCAGCGGGTCACTACTGCTGCAGTGCCAGGCACACCGCTCAGTCTTGGTCACCTTCTACAGCACCAGCTTCCTCCCTCCACCTTGCCTTAGATCAATACTGCCTCCTTTTTATACACCCTCCTCTCCCCTCCCTTTTGAGCCCTTCAGAGGAGGCTGCATGGAGCTTACTGCTGCTAGCCAACTCCAAAGCTCACACTGCTGCTCAACACTTGCCCTGCACAGCTGCCCTTAATGTTTTTTTTTCTGCACACCAGGCATTTCCCCCAAAAATGGAGCTTGCGGAACACCTGCACCTCAGAAATACAATCATTTTTTCTCCCAGTTCCTAAGCCTGGAGAAAACGAAGCAGTGACACCACCACATTTCCACATTGCAAATATTTAGCCCATGTTCTACGTCTAACAAGTATCCTAAACCAATTCCACAGTTACTTCCATGCAACTTCTTTTTGTTCCTCCTTTTGCTTTACCACTATATATAGTGTGCATATATAAACACACATACGGCCACATACAAATAAAGTCAGAGAAAGGAGTTTACATATTTCAAGGCTTGGAGGGAAGACTAAATTCCTTTAGCAAGATCTCCAGCATAAACATCAACATCACCCCTAACTCCCTTAACAGAACAAAGTTTTGTGTCCCGCTGTGTCAACGGATTCTACCAAACCCTCCTAGCTTATAGGTAAGAAAATCCTTGAACGCGAAATGTTAGCACTATACATAGTAGCCCAAGGTATTTTGCATGTACATGGAGATAAGTTATGATGATGGAAGAGGACGTGAAGATTGTTCAGATGTTTTCAAAGTCTGCAAAAGAGAAGGGATGTGGGGGAAAGATGCAAGAAGAATGGAAATTAATGCAAAAAATCCTACCGTGAAGCTGTTGTTGACATTCTTAGTGCTGGATTCTGCCACACTAGCATCTGTCAGATCCACCTCATCAAAAATAATGGACTGGAAAGAAAAAATTCAAAACCCCAATGAACTACTGAACCCAGTGTATAAGCAGCAGACCCAAAGGGACATGTCTACAGGTCTCCTTAGCATACTCCATCACAGCCTTTTGTGATCTGAAGGAAAGGCCCAGCTTCAATGAAGGACTCAGAAGTCTAGTTCCACACACTGGGGCTCACAGTTGCCTGTCTTCAGTCAGTGAACACATTGACTGTATTTTTATTAAGGGATTATTTTAAAAAAAAAATTGCGGGCTTTGTTCTTCTTGCTGTCTATCAACATACTATGCCAGATGCATGGCAACACTGATTTGAAAAATTCTAGCCTTGCTTGTCTCCTCCATTTCCTCTTATCACTCATATTTTCTCCCTTGTTTTTCAGCTTCTATTGATTCAGAGCCCATTCTCTACTAAAATACAGCAAGTGGGGAAAAAAAATGTGGAAAAATAAGTATCACAGGTCCACATGATGCTTTAATTTAGAAAAAAAGGATTTCCACATGTAAGGCGAAACACAGGGATCTTCTAGGAGCTACAAAACCTGAAGACAGGTGCTTACAGAGTACATGCTCTTTTCTCTGCTGAGGGTTGCCTTCTCACAGACACCCATCTGCCTCCAAAGATCCACCACTGACTTCCTTCCCTTGGACTCATATGTATCATCGAGACCTTACCTTAGCAGTTTTTGCATAGTACAGCGTTCGTCCTCGCAGTTTAAAATATCGTCTCTTCCACCGCTGGAAGGAGCTGGTCTGTTTCATCAGCATCCCCTCTTTTATGACAGTCTACAGAACAAGGAGGGGAGAGGGGTGAAGCATACGTTTTACTTACAGGCATCTTTTATGCTCTCCCACCATATACCCATAACAAAAAAGACTTGGGAGTTTCAGATCAATAATCTTAGTGCCCTCTGCTGGAAGCGCTTAACAAATTCATTCACATAAACAAGCAAACAAGGAGATTAAACCATCACAATCCATAATACACCCTGTGGTGCAGTTTTATCCTTGTCTTTAGTGCTATCATGATACCAAAAAAGACAAATAACTTACGACTGAACGAGCATTTCAGAGTCTAACAATGACTCGGGGAGTATAACAGTTAAACTCAGTGAGGTCAGATTTCAGTTGCAGGTAATCACGCCTTTCATTTAACTGGTATTTGACTACAAGCACATACACACCACAGCATATCTGTCCCTATCTCCAGTTCCGCCTTGTGAAATTATCAACATCCACCTGGCACAGAGCTGGCAAGCTGCAGGCCCACAGGGTAAAGAGTGAAACTAGAGCAAAGAAGAAGCTATATCCAACTTCAGCATTTGGTATTCCTCAGATAGGCTTGGCCCTGCCTCAGTACTCTCTGGCTGGCTGCCATTTCCCAGGGCTGGAGTGCCAAAACTGTCTACGCACACTGCCTTTTTTTTTTTTTTTTTAACTGCTTTATAACTAGACTGACATACCAGCGTACACAGTCCCATATGCTAACTCTCATACTATACATACATATGGGTATTTATTTAATCCACATGGACTTCACTCTACTTTGTCAAATACATTCGATTCCTTCACTGAGGACAGATTTTGAATGCCAATAGCTACACGAAAATAATCTCCAAAACTGCAGCTTAGAAAGACAAAAGGCAGAAAAGTCAGAGCTGAGGGTTCATCCTCAAATTACTGATTGAAGGTATTGCCTAGGAACTGTAAAGGGAGCTATTTCATGCCTCAGTACCACAAGAAACCTACTTTTCTCCTCAGGAACCCACCCCTTGCTGAGAGAGCCCAATGTGATAAACACGCAGTTAAAACACAGGAAACAAATGGTTCGACAATCTTGTAAGACAGGTTATTCTGTATCTTGATGCCAGGAAAATGACACAGCTTTAACATACCAGAGGTCTCAGTGTAACCCAGGTTTGTAACAGAGTCAGGTCACAGATAAGTATCAATTAATTCACAAACACAGTGTTAAATGTACACTGCCCGACTACTACAGAGCACAAAATAAATACTCTTACTGATCCACAGGGTTTAGTTCATTTTAGAAAGCCTTTCCAGGGCACTAAACTTGCTTTTAAAATGCTATATATACTTCTAATGTGGGTCTTTCCTTTTTGAAACAGCTACAGATTTTAATACTTTCCACACACACTGGCCCTTGCCAAGCCCAAAGCTTCCTCAAAAAGCACTTGGAAAAAAATGCTGACTATAAGAAGAAACATCCATCTGACAATACGTGCTTCTCTCTTGCTAGACTGAGCCATCCTCAAACTGGCCTGAGAGATCATAGGACCTGGACCACCCTGGTGATGACTCTACTCACAAATCAGCCAGGAAAGAGCAGGCTCCTGCATACCCCCAGACCTGAAAGAGCACTGCAGGCCATAGGAGCAACTGTATACCTTCACTGCACTGGGGAAGAGAAAAGGGTGAGAGTTCCCCTATCTCCTCCACCAGTAACATCATCTAACTCAAAGCCTGGGACCTGGCAAACTCCAAGGCTAGCGAACCCCAAACCTCACTGGGTTTCCCAGGGTTCTGTTTCACAAAGCTTCCTGCACACTGTTAGTGCTCAGGAAACACCAACTTAGCGTGCCTGGTTCAACCAGGAATTGTCAAGCTCCACAGTTTCCAGCAGAATGAAAAGAGATAACGAAAATACACAATAAAACACGAAGCTCATATCAGAAAATGGTCGTCTCCCACATCTCTCCCACAACTCTGAAGTGGTCACTGAAAGACATCTTGGCATCCATTTTCCACAAGTCACAGCAGAGACACAGCAGTAAGAATACACTCTAAGAAGCGATAAGGCATCTGGGAGCAGCTTTAGGGTCCAGAAGTTAAACATGCTATAGTGATATCCAGAAACAAGATGTTAAACTAACTTAGGGCTGGTGCTAAGCAAAGAATCTGAAACTCTGCCATGATCTTAATCTGAAGCTTCAGCGTAAGAGAAAATGGAGTTCAAAGACTGACCCAACAGCATCCCTTGCTGCAACAACCCTGAAGGTGAGGCCTGAGCTGAATGCACTCATCTGGAACTGGGAAAAGTGCATTCAAGCTCCTACTCTGCCATGGACATTTTACAAGAGCCCAATAAAGCAATTTTCACTCTGCGTGTCTCCATCTCCCATCTGCCAAGTGGAACAAACAGCACTGCCCAACTCTACAGAGTCCTACTAGAATATATACATATTTATGTCTACCTGACAAGTTACTTTAACTTCCAGCACCTGAGTATCAAAGAGAAATGTAAAGCGAGAGCATCTAAATTACCATGCTAAAAAAAAAAAATTAAAAAAATTTAAAAAAATAATCACACACTTCTGCAGTTCACTTACTATCTACAGGGAAGAAAATGGGAAAGTGTCAAGAGATTTTTCAGATTAAGACAGAAACATGGAATGATCTTTTGCATTCGTTGGACAAAACCACTTATAATTAAAAAATGCTACAGAGAAAGTAGCTGCTGAATTCTGCAAAGCCCTGAACCAAAGTCAGAGAGGAATTAAAAATCCTGGGGAAGACTCCCAGGATGCAAAGCCCAAAGACATCAAGTCAGCCAGGAGTCTGATCAAAAATAGCAACTTGCAGGAGGAGATTTCAGAGCTCTGTTACCATGCTTATTCACAGATAGGCTCAAACTAGGGTCAGCCAGAGCCCCACGCTCCCCAAGCTCGGCCAGCGGCACTCTGGCCACTCGAACTCCTACCCAGCCCACCAGAACAGCACCTCCCAGCAAAACAACGCCTCTGCTTTCCCTCAGCTCCCACAGCTCCATCCTGCCAGACTCGGCTCCCGAGTGCCGCACATGAGGCGGCTCCCCTCACCTCGGCAGGGCTCACTCACCTCTGCACAAGACGTGCATTCCTCCATTCCTCTTTTAAACAAAATCCTCTTTTTTTTTTTTTTTTTTAATCAAAAGGCAACAATCCCAGAGGTCATCTTGCCCCTCCCTAAGTAGCAGTTTATGTCATTTACCAGCCTCTACCTACAGAAAACCTCACAGCTACATAACTCAGACATGAAAGGCCAGTGAGAAGTGAGCTCTCACATGCACGCACTGCTCAGAGAAAACAAGCCTCTGGTTCAGAGCTATCCATCTCTGCATGACAGCGGCTGTTCTATTTATAGGCACACAGCTCAGTAAAGAGTTTGGTGGGTTTGGGCGGAAAGGGCTGGAGATAAGATCAAGATGACTTTATAAAATGATTCAGACTGCTGCCTTTCTCCTCCTCTATTTTAATTTTACAGCCAAAGGACTTGCTACTTGCAGAGGAATGCAGCTGAAGAAAATTAACTGGGGAAAGGACCTGAGAGCAAAGTGACATCAAATTAAATACAAGGGGGGAGCTGAACAGTTATTTCTGCTCACCAGCCTCTCTGAAGCTTTTCTAATTGAAGATCTACTCTGATCAGATTACTAGGCATGTAATTCATCAAGACAAAAGTGAAATTACCTCCCCCATATGAAAAAAAAATGTTAAATCTATTTTTAGTGTCATATATTGGATCCTACAGGAAAAGCTACTGCCCTGAAACATTTATGAGGTTTGACTACGTGCATCCTATCAAGGATAAATATAAAAATTGTTTGTGACAGAACTACCCCCATTGCTTTTTATGCAGCTCAGTTTCTCTTCAGCATGGTGTCCTATGGCATGGCACTCCATGGGCAGACAACACTGTGAAAACTGAATTATCTTCCTGGATCATGCCTAAAATGGTGTGCTACTAGTTTCAACAGTGATCCCCTTTATCATATTACAAGACAGTATAAAAAAAGGTTACTGAACAAACCGACAATTTAAAGCAATACTGCACATAGCAGATTCTTAAGCATCGTGGCAAAGAACGCAATTAGACACGTGAAAGGCAGGGCCTAGGAAATTTCTAGCATTTCACTATTTATCTTCAGCCTTCAAGAAAAGGAACTTCCTGCAGAAAAAAATCCAGTTCACAGAGAGCAATACACAACCCTCCCCCCAGGCTCATCATCATTTTGAAACTTGACATTTAGGAAGAGAAATAATATGTTCTCAGATTTCTCCTGTCAAAACGGGTGCAGGGTTCAGGCCTAATCCTGAACCGATGAAAGAAAAGTTTTGCCACTGACCTCAATGGGAATGGTTTCAAACAACTCTGAGAACTTAATTTAAGGACTTAAGGCGGGGAGAGCCTCATGCTTCACTGGTTCCCTTCACGCAGTCCCACCTTGCAAGAACAAGAAGCCAAATGATTAACAGTAGTCATTCACAAAACCAGCAAGACACAGTCGTATTTTCTGCAGCTGTGTCTCTGTATCCAACAACCCACATCAGGAGATCAGAGAGCCAGCCTACACAGACGAAATGCTTTCTATACTGATAACGTGAATTAATCTAGTAAAAAGTTAAGAACAATCATGTCAGCTACTTTCAGACTGCATCCCTCGTTTTGCTGTACATAGTACTGCTCACTATGTGAAACACAAGAGAAGCGCATCCTTTCCGGAGGCGTAAGCCTCTTGCCCCATTTGGAAGCAGGGCCCTTGATATAACTAGTTTCCTAATCTGGAAAACAAGAGCCTATTAGCCAGACTAAAGGCAACTATCAACTGTACCCAGCTGTCAGGCTGGCAAGTGTCCTTTAGCACATGGAGACTGCAAACTGTGTTCTATATAGACAGAGGAAGAATAATGCAACCTATTTTACAGCTGAGATCATGACATATTCTCAGGGGCAGTTATTCAGTGCAGCATATCTGAAACAAGAATTTCGCCCCACTGATATTT